CGCCACACTGCTTTCCAAAGTGGTTGCACAAGTTTGCATTCCCACCAGCAATGGATAAGTGTACCCCTTTCTCCACAACCTCTCCAGCAAAGGCTATCATTGGTGTTTTTGATTTTAGCCATTCTGACAGGTGTAAGATGGTATCTTAAAGTTGTCTTGATTTGCATTTCCCTGATCACTAAGTAAGTTGAGCATTTCCTTAAGTGTCTTATGGCCATTTGAACTTCTTCTGTTGAGAATTCTCTGTTCAGCTCAGTGCCCCATTTTGTAATTGGGTTGATTAGCCTTTTACGGTCTAGTTTCTTGAGTTCTTTATATATTTTGGAGATCAGACCTTTGTCAGTTGCGGTCCTAACTGCAGTCCTAAGCCTATCTCCCCAAGGCTGCTCACCTATAGACTTTGGTATCTTTGCTGGAGGTCAGGTCCAGTCTCTAACAGAAGTCTCTGATATGAGGGTCAGGATGCTGGAGGAGAATCTGCAGTACAAATTAAGGCAGCGTCTCTCCAGACATGCAGAGCAGAGCAACGCTCTTGGTCTTTGTCCACATTGTTCAGTGGGCATCATGGGGTTGTGGACATTATGGGTTTCTAAGCCTGTGTCTGAGTGAGTGATGTCACTGGGTTCTGGTTAGCAGGTGCCTTGGGTGTAGTGGGGTTCCTGTCTAAGTTGTTTTGGCATGCCTAAAAGGCATTTTTTTTTAACTATGCTTATTACACTGACTGTCCTGGAACTTGCTATATAGACCAGGCTGGATTCGAACTCACAGAGATCTGCCTGCCTCTGTCTCCTGAGTGGTAGGATTTAAGATGGTCGTTTTTGACAGTCTTAACAGGAAGATATGGTCCTCATTGAGCTTGGCAACAGCTGGGCAGAAAGGGAGTTCCAGAAGACTCTGACAAAGGACAAACTGTTCATTTTCAGGCTCCGTTTAGAGTTTGAGTAGAGAAAGACAGACGGCATCAAACAATTGCAAGTCAGAGACTGAGCAGGCACCAAACACGTGAGTATCCTGCTCCTCCTCTGGAGCGATGGGTGTCCCCTCCCCCAAACCAATCCCTAATGTTACTCTTCTGGGAGCTATAGTTCCAGTGCCTTGATTCCGGGCTCCAACTGTAGAAGTTAGCTCAATTCAGGAAATAACCAGGCTGGCTAAAAGATAAAACACGCAAAATAAGAATGAGAAGTCCAATCTCAGCTATGGTGTGAGGGACCCACAGAGAGAGAGAGAGAGAGAGAGAGAGAGAGAGAGAGAGAGAGAGAGAGAGCGCACCTGGGCCATGAACCATTTTCTCCAGGTCCCAGAAATCCACCCTAACTTTGTCCCACCTCTTAAAGATAATTGGTTGGCAAAGATTCCCCATCAATGAACCATGTGCATCAACACAGACCCTAGCTGCAGTAGGACCACTGACCTAGACATGACACTCAGCAGCAGCCTGGGTCTGGATGCCAACATGGACCCAGGTGGAATGCAGGCCGCTCAGTTAGGCATCACCCTGGCTACAGGATGGCCCTCAGACAGCAACACAGTCCTAGGTGGGGACCTAGACCCTGGGTACCCACCCAATCCTCAAGGGCAACAAGTGCCTTGGATATCAATAAAGACCCAGGATGAGGTAGGGCCATAGACCCAGACATGGCTTTGGCTGCAGCTCAAGCCCAGACATCTCCATAGCCCTGGGTAGCAGCCCAGGACACTCACATTGGGATTGTCCTGCACTGGCATAACCCTTGGGCACCAATGTGGCCACATATGGTGGCCCAAATCCCAGGCATCTTCACTGCCTTCAGTGGTAACTGGAACCATGGACATAAATCAACACAGATCAAGGCTGCAGCAGGGCCACAGACCCAATAATGGCCCTTGGCAGCAGCCTGGAACTGAATGTCACTATGGCCCCAGAGAGCGAGCAAGCCTCACATACCAGCCTGTTCCTCACCACATTTGCCTCTTCAGATCCTCCTCTCTCCCCAGGATACCAACCTCCCTGCCTCCCTCTCTTTCATACTCCCTCCACAATTTGTTCACCAAAATGGCACCTGACTCTTCTTATCTTGTGGCTTCTTCCTACCTGCCCATGGCAAACTACGCTGGGCAGCATGTATGAATCCATCTCTCCTGCTAGGTTCGAGAGGCAACAAGGCCTGAGCTCCCTCCACCACCCAAACAAACTCTACCCCAGAGTGACATGTGTGACTCAACTCTGATGTTCGCCAGGATATATTTTCTTACACAGTTGATTTTAATGTTTATACAAAGTTTTCGAAAGACATAAGAACTTCAACTCCATAGAAGACAAATTCCATAACAAATCTTTATTTTTGATTTATGTATCTCCCTTCTAAATTGGTTGATGACTCAAAATGTAGATTACAATAGGTTTTGATAACTCTGAAATAGGCCCAGAATTACAGTTACCACAACTCATTTCACATATGTTTTAATAGCATGGACATTTGTCTGATCCTGTTTTTGTGTTTCATCAATAACCAAGGCCCTTAGGGAAGGGAAAAACATAGACGTGCTTTACATACAACTGGCTGTTTGTTAATACACATAGGTGTTATAATGCTGTATATAACTGTGACTTGATTAGTGACTTCTGTTTACTGAGTTCCTGGTGTCCTTTCATAAGTAGTTAAAATGGTATTCTATCTAGTCCTCCAGACAACCATAACAGGAGTTCTGATCTCATTCAACTTATGCTGATCTCTTCTACTATCTCCTTGTTTTAAAGATTAAATAAAATCTAATCTCTGTTACAAATATTAAATGATAATGACATAAATTTAAGTTGTCCTCAAAAAATATTTTTGTTGATTATCCTGCACGTTCCAGGTGTAAATGATCAAGCACAGAGTCCTATTAGTCTTCAAATTAGGCCAACTGCCTATAATTTAGTCCCACTTAATATTCAAACTAAATTTTGCCTGCATCACTACACTTTTTCTTCTCTAATTTTACCAAGTCTCAAAAATCACTTCTTAACTACATTCATAATTCACCACTTATGAACAACTTCTCAACAAGAGCCAAGCTTTGCATTTTACAGATAGCCATTAGCCACAAAAGGAAACACTCTATTAAACTGCCTAATAACTTTAATGTACCTCAATACTGTGTTTGATGTATTTATGCAAAGCGGATGCAAAAAAACTCCTCTACCTCAGACAAATTGCTTGAACATCACTTAATATCTTATAAGCCAAATGAGAGGTCAG